GTATTATTTATACTACAGAAAAGTAATAAATAGTAATTGTTTGCTTATGGAAATAGCATGCGTCGTCTAAAGGGTGTGTGGGTGTGGGTGTGGGGTGTGGGTGTCGGTGTGGGTGTGGGGTGTGTGGGTGTGGGTTTGGGGTGTGGGTGTGGGTGTGGGATGTGGGTGTGTGGGTGTGGGTATGGGTGTGGGTGTGTGGGTGTGGGTGTGGGTGTGGGCGTGGGCGTGGGAGGGTGTGGCTATAGGCACAGTGATACGTTACATCCACATCCACATCCACACCCCACATCCATACCCACACTCACACACCCACACCCACCCTCATTATTTTATCTTCTCAATTGTACTACATAAAACTTCAGAACAAGGATCTATACGGGTTATTGCAAGTAATTTCATTTATTAGTGGATTATGAATAATGTTTTTTGGTCCATTGTTCAATATGCCTTTCGTTCAAGGAGTTGGGAGTACAATGTTTGTCTTATGGTTATTAGAAAAGTATGCTGAATTCGTGTCTTGGAATACAACATCAACAGCAGCCGCTAGTATGTTTGGTTTTGACCTATTACTATACGGATTTGCCTCTTTTCTGAGAACTTTTCCGCAATATTTTATCTTTCATAGTTTTGCCTCAAAGTGAAACTTGATTTTTTTGTATTTCGTTGCAGTAGCTTTCATATTATCTGTTGTTTCATTTTACAAATATTATTCAAGATAAATTCTTCTTTCGCAATGATGAAATAATCTATCATAGTTTTTTTAACAGAGATAAGACTAGATGGCACATAGGCTAAGACTGAAATGCGAGCTCGGTTCAAAGCACTATCTCGCTTTGGTCAAAATTATGATGCATAGAATTTTTGAATCGTTCGAAGAGTTTCATATTTTAAAAAACTCACCTTGTTCCAAATAGACTTACAAATGCGTAACTAATCTCGATTATATTACAGAGACCGAAACAAGGCAGGATCCCGAGACGAGGATGGGTGTAAGTGTGGGTGTGGCAGTGAACGAAAACGAGACACATCTGCATCTACACCCCATACAACCAGACGCGCACATGCAGCCACACCTTTCATTAATTATTGATTTATTTTCAATAAATTGAATTCTATGATAATGAAGAAAACAGAATAATCAATTACCTCTGTTTCAATTTATATCTTTGCTTACTTCGATAAATGGTTGATTAAACGAACAGCATGTTTTATATCGTGTTACATTAGTACTGGTTGATGTTTGTGTTCCATTGCAAATAAAAAGAAGTTTTCCTTGTAAATCAATATTTTGCATAAGCAGAAAATTTATTGTGATTATCTTATTGTTTATAAGTTACCTCAAACAATCAATTTTCTACTTGCGTTTGCAAAGCTTACTGTACTTTTTTATTCGAAAATCACAAGAAAAAAGTTCCTTGATCATCTGCAATAATACTACAAACTTCAAGTGTTCCATTAAATGGACCGATATGAAATCGTCTATTTGTTTGCGAAATTATTTCAATAGAATTACTAGAGATAGAATAAGAAAAATATGTAAACGATTCCCGAATTTAGTTTTCAATTAGGTTTTGTGCTAAGACGTGATTTCTGATGGTCTTCTTTCGATAAACTAAACGATTATGAAATACCAAATTAGATTAAGACATAAACTACTATTGTTGATGAAAGATTTCAATCAGATTTTGATCATAATCAGTGAACCAATATCGAGTTTTTAGGAAAACATGATTAATCTCAGAAAAAAAAAACTTGCCTTTGCGTTCGAAAACATTTTAATGAAAGACAATATATGTTTTGTTTGTCTTTATCTTTGGACATATTCCTTTTTCTATTACTTTAACTATTGAGCATATTTATCCATAAAGATAATCTTACCCAGCATTAGCGTCACCTATAGTTATTTACTCATTGATCGTTCAGTTTAACAATAACTTTTGATATAGAACCTTGAAATGTAGTTTTTTCTTCGATTAATTTGTAATCGAAAATCTAGTGACCGTTGAGTACCTGCAACAGAACTATTTTCAATAATAGCAAAACAAACTTATTTATGATTTCGTGATAACAAACTACTTTTCATAAAACATTGTACACTTGGTTTAGGTGATAAATTTATTGTTGGAAAATGTGGCATGACAGCATCAGATTCATAAACATTTCCATCTCAATTATGTTGATCATTTATTAAACCATTAAAATGCGAAATACTTAAACTGGTCACTGTAGTGCCAACAATACTAACATGACTTTTAGCTAAGCATCGATATGACTCTTGATTCTTGTTTTCTAGCGAATGAAATTTCAAAATAACTGAATGAAGAAAAATTTGATGTAACATATTTCCATTCCCGCAATCACATGTAAGTTGGAGAAGGATAATCAAGTGCATTACAAGTAAAAACTTTACGCAAACCTAATGGTACATTATCATCACTTAATTGACATAGAATTATTGGTGCTTGCAATTGTTCACTTTGTTTTTACGAAAGAAAATATATTTATGAGATCAAAGAAAAAGATTTTTTCTTACTGGAAATTGAAACACAAAGTATATACAATGCATAACAACTTGAAAAACATAGGAAATGTATGTACATTTAGTTGATAACGAAATCTAAAATAATAATGAAGAAAGACTTGATTGTTTTCGTTCGATAAGTGACAGTTGACCGATTTTTGACACCTTTGAAAGGTACAAATTTATGATTGATCGAATGACTGATGACCTCATGTCGTTGAATTCATCGCCATACAACTGTTAGCCTCTTTCTCTTCACAACTCGTCAAAACGTCTATGTCATCACTGGGATAGCAACGTGGTTGTTTCATGACAGAATGGAGCAAACGAATATTTCCACCTCAATACTATACTTTCTTTGTCCAATAATCACTTCGCCACAATGTGATGTGTGGGTGTTACCTGATTCTTTTCTTTACTTACACCCCGCAGCGACACACTCACACTCACACTCATAATGGAGTTAGAATGATTTAAAACATACCTGATGATGATCTCTAGCAAAAATTGTTTAAATCATTTCTTTGTTGTAAACTCATCTTTGCTCAAAATTCTAAATCGTGAATGTATGCCACACAAAGTACATATTGATATTTTATCTGGTTATCTACTTTATTTGATTTAAATGGCAAAATATTTTATGAAAAGTACATTCAATGGGATATAAAATGTTTCATTCTATCATTTGCTAAGACATATTTATAAATTATATTTTTCTACTATTTATTTCGCATCGGAGTAATTTTCAACATGATCACTGAATGATAAGTGATATTTGGTGATGTAAAATTGCTTGTAAATATTCCAAGATCTTCTCGAGTCCATAAATTACGAACAACTGCTGCTTGATCATTTGAAAATCCAATATCTGTCCATTTGACAGTGATTGATTCACTTTCAGTATTACCTCGATTAAGTAAAACAACAGCTTGTGAATGATCGGAAAGTGAACCAGCCCAAACTTCAAGCTCTTGTAAAACAGTTAAACATTGGCCATCATGTTTAGTTTGTACTGTTCCATCTGTAGCATTCCATAACCATTGTTGATAATCCTGTTCATTACATGTATGTGCATCAACATTTGGTCCATGCTGAAGATTGAAATTCAAACTAATAAATTTAAATTTCAAATATTTATTTCTCGGTGATTAAAAATCTTACCACATTCCATTCATTTGAGAAACAATAGTTTGATCAGCTATTCCAACTGTCCATTGTTGATTTTTCCCTTGACATTGTGTTTGTGAATCATTAATATGACACTCACTTAACACAATAGTAGCTCCTTCGACTGTACTACAATTATTAATAGATAAACATCGTCCATTGAGTGCTGATCGAATTGTTCCATCTTGAGAATTGTATGTCCATTGCAGACGTTTTGGTTCTATTTTTGATGAGGTTGAACAATTTGCAACAACAATCTCAGTTGATATATTGGGCAATTTTGATGATGCAAAAGCAACTTTTTTTCCTTGTACACCTAATGAATCTTGATTAACAGCAATTACTTCAGGATTAGTTAGAGTAGCCAACGTAGCTG